TTGGTTACTTTGTTTTATTTTATTTATGCAAATGAATTTCAGTGTTTATCCAAAAAGGGAACAAATGCTTAATTTTTTTTTACCGATTCCAAGGGGGGCCAAATGCTCATGTTTTTTTTTTAATTTCAAATTATAAAATTTCCCTCTTTTTCCCGATCGAGGGACAAAAGTTCGAACTTGTCGAAAGAGCCGGAACCTGCTGGAGTAATCGCTCATCCGGGTCGGCAACTTTTAATTCGGACGGCCGACATATGGCCGCTCTCGAGCGCGCTGCGGCCTGCGCACGACTGACGTTACGTATAGCCGACGACAGGCGATCTGCGGTTTCTGTCATTTACCGATAATCATTCGGTGTGTTCATCCGGGTGTGTGCGCGCCACCCTATTAATACACGACCGCGGAGCCCGCGGGCTAGCTTCCGGCCACGGTTGTAAGTGCAAGCCGACCTGTCGGCGCCGCCTCGGTGCGCAATGGTCGCCAAACTGCTCGTCCCCCGGAAAGATGACACGTGGCCACGACTCGGTCTCGGTCGTTACTTTTATTACTATGCGTATTGCTTCCGGTCCCGAGGACAGGCCGGCACGGAAGCGAGAGTAAGAAGCGTTATCTAGCATCGGATCAGGTCTATCGGGACAGGTGCTCGTAGATGGAACCCCCGAAAACGATATCTCTCCTACGTCGTGACGATAATCTCGTAACGTTATTAGTTATTTTAGAATCTTTTCTGTTTTTTTTTTTTTTTTTACATCGAGACGAAAAAAATAAATGGTTCCTATGCGATAACTTCCGGATTGGTTATGCAATGCACATGTGTCTCACTTACGTTATTATTACTTAAAATGTTTTCTTTAAAGAAAATTGTGGAGAAAGTTGGGAGGAGAGGAAGGCTCTACGGTTGGAATTATTTTGCTAAAACTGTACTGTCAAATTTTTAAGAATATTTATTTGTTTTTACCGCATACTCTCTATTCTTCTTCCAAATTGTGGACATTTAAATACCAATAGTATATTTATAGATTTCAGCATTTCGAAATTATCTTTCTCCCGAATCTTTCGACATTTAAAAATGAAACACGCGAGCTCTCCACGATATCCAATTTCGATTATTTTATTGCGGGGCAATTTTTGCGCCCGCGACTCCGGCACGACATCATCTCGTACAACGTTTCCCGTTTGACGAATCCTTGAATAATTCACGGTAAAGTATCGCCAGGAGAGACTAACAGCCTGTCATGTCACTCTAGCGCGCAGATCCGTCTCGGCGCGCTTTTCATTTCCAGTCGGCTTAATACTCGTGTCGCACGCGAAAACGGCGAGACGACGCGACGGGGAAATTAAGGGCACTCGAGACCGTCACGATGAGAAAAACGAGGAGTTCTCTCTCGACGCGAGCAGGACGACCGTTCAACCCTCGTCGTTTCGCGAGCACGAGGAGCGATCACTCTCTCGACTAAAGCGGATCCCTCAAGGTCTCCTCTCTACATCTCGGCGGCTTCAGGATCACCCTTTCGTTCTTCTTCCGTGCGTCTTTGTTCTTTCCTTTCCATGTTTTTCGTCAGCGAGACGGTAAACATTCAGGACACGCAAGCGAACGTCCCGTCGCGGATTGCAAAGGGGTTCGATCCACCCTAACGTTTCGCTTTTTCATAATAAAATCGTCATGCGGTACCCCGATTGGCTGGGATCACTCGAGGGGTCTCACAATACACCGGGGGCTTGTCCACGCCGATATTTGTGGGGCGAGGTGCACACGTGGGCGAGAAAGAGGCAAGGAATGCGCGAGAGGGAAGGAAAATATACCGGAGGGTAAGAATAAAAAGGGCCGGAGCGAACGCGACACATCAGAGTTCTCTCGTATTCGGTGGCTGTCGCTGTGTAAATAGGGCACACCAAGAGACACACGCCCCACGCATTGTACGTGCCCTCTCGTCTGAAGGGGCGCCCTTCCGTCCCCTCGACAAAGGGTTGTCCCGAACCGCGCGGTCGCTTTAAAACTGAATTTTTTATTCAGCCGACAGGAAAGCGGCCATCATACGCGCCGCCACATTCCCTGTCCTTCGCCCTTTTTCTGCGAACGCGTGCGAGTACCTTCGGTAAGCATTCTTTTCCTCCTGGAACGCGTATGTTCCCCTCGGATATCGATAAACGAATGGAATTTATTTTACGAGAAAAATTCAACATATATATTTCTGAAAATATATAGATATCGGACATTTTTTATTCGACTTTTGCTGCTCTTCAAATCTATATAGTAGGATAAAATAATAAGAAGAGAGACCGTGCATCGATTTAAAAAAATGAAAAACAATGTTCTCTAATGTAATGTATAGATATCATAAATTTTCTATTAAACTTTTGCTGCTCTTGAAATCCATAGGTATAGACGGATAAAATAATAAGAGACCATACATCGATTTAAAAAATGAAAAACAATGGTAATGTAATATATATCATAAATTTTCCATTAAACTTTTGCTGCACTTTAAATTTCTGTAGACGGATAAAATAATAAGAAGAGACCATACGTCAATAAAAAAAATGAAAAACAATGCTCTCTAATGTAATATATAGATATCGTAATTTTCTATTAAACTTTTACTGCTCTTGAAATCCATAGGTATAGACGGATAAAATAATAAGAGACCATACATCGATTTAAAAAATGAAAAACAATGGTAATGTAATATATATCATAAATTTTCCATTAAACTTTTGCTGCACTTTAAATTTATGTACGCGGATAAAATAATAAGAAGAGACCATACGTCAATAAAAAAAAATGAAAAACAATGCTCTCTAATGTAATATATAGATATCATAAATTTTCTATTAAACTTTTGCTGCTCTTGAAATCCATAGGCATAGACGGATAAAATAATAAGAGACCATACATCGATTTAAAAAATGAAAAACAATGGTAATGTAATATATATCATAAATTTTCCATTAAACTTTTGCTGCACTTTAAATTTCTATAGACGGATAAAATAATAAGAAGAGACCATACGTCAATAAAAAACAAAAAAAAATGAAAAACAATGGTAATGTAATACTGTTTTTGACTCGAATCGAATCGATACGGCAGTCGTGAATCTGTGGAATATTTAATATCTTGTTCATAACGCGGGGGATTTATCGGTACCGAACAAAGGAAGGCTTCGTTTTTAGTCATCGTTGAGCCAAAAGAATGGCCAAAATCGCCATCATCGTGGGACGTACGCACGATCATAGGGCATAGAGAGAGGGAGATGACACGGGGGATGGTAAAGGGGGAAAAGGAGGGGGAGGTTGGAAAGGGCACTAAGTACACAGATGCACGCGTGTACGTCCTACGGAAGGTACTTACCGCCCTGCGCACGAGTGATTAGCGATATTTTATTTCGCATGGGAAACCAGACAGATGAGAACTAGTTGAGTGGGAGCTCAGCTCTCTTTCATTAGGGCAAGCCCCGTCTCTAAACCCCGTCCAAATCACCCCCCGTCCGCACAACGTTCCCTCCTCTCTCATTTTACCCTACTTTCAACCCCCTTTTCTCCTCCTCTTGTCATTGCTTTCGCAACGTCCCTCGACGCTGTCACGACGGCGTTACGTCCAATATCCTCTGGTTCTCTCGGTCGAGCGATTCCAAAATGGACAGGTTTTCATTGAGAGAATTGCGAGGAATCGATTATAAATCAGAACCCGAACGTTTACACACTGGAAAAAAAATTTTGTTGGATTAACAAAAATTCTGTTCGAAAATGGATGAAACGGAATTACTGGTTGAATCTACCAGAATTCCTTTTAATGCAACAAGCATCTTGTTTGTACAACAAATCAGTTTGTTGGTACAAACAAGATATTTGTTGTATTAAAAGGAATTCTGGTACATTCAATCAGAATTCTGTTTCGTCCATTTTCCAACAGAATTTTTGTTAATCCAACAAAATTTTTTTTTCAGTGCAAGTAATGCGATTCGGCCGTCATTGTTGCCAGGATGTTTACCGAAGCAGCGCGACGTCTCCGATCTGTTGCTCGCAGTTAATTGGAGCTTTAATGAACACTAATGAGCGCCGGTTTATTTCTTTCGATAATATAGGTATATACGCGATCGAGGGATATCTCGAAAGCGGTGCTTCGTAAAGGATGAAGCGTCCACTGCGTATAATGTATGTTGGACGTTTCCTGATTTATATATTACGTAAAGTTAAATTTAATGCATCGAGAAACTAGTTAATTATATTACAAATTATCTTCTAACGCTAAATATTAGGATTAGAAATCGTAATAAATTTAGAACTTTTAGAAACTTACTGTATTAATTTATTTTGCATTTACTTTTGGTATGTAACATTTTTTTGTTTATGAATTTATAATTAATTGTTGCGATGAAATGTATTAAAATTATAATTTTTTTTTTATGTAATTTTTTATAGATTTACTTGAAAAGGGCTGCAATGACAGCCGAAACGTTGTATTTCAACTAATTATCTACAATAAATGATTGCCAGTTTGGTCGACTTTTACCATTGAGGAAAGATTTTTATTAATTATTATTGGCGAACCTTAAGGATTTTTATCTGTTTCAGAAACTTGTCAATATTTCTTATATGTATAATCGCGTTATATAAATCATTATTCTTTAAATTTGTTATCTTCCTTCGATATAAAGTAATGGGGAGAAAATGAAGAAATAAAAAACGCTCGATTCTCTTTTATCTGAATAATTAATTTTCGAGGCATATGTTTCTCAAATTAGGGTACTTTACGATATTAATGCAAATAATTGTAAATAAAAAATTAAGTATACACCTTTAAAATCTGATTAATTTGGAACATGACATCTGTCCTGTTATTATCCAACCCTACGATTGTACAATCTCATCTTGGAAGAATCCTAGTCGGAGTCTTCGAAACGGAAAGAGACATATGTCGACCATTTTCACGTACACGACCACTACGTAGACACAACGAAAGGAAACAATCACGGAACGCTTTCGTTAGAAGAGAACGAATCATGGTCGGAGGCAGAAACTTTAATATCAAGAATCAGGATCCGCCATTTCTCTCTACCGGGCGTGGAATCCTTCGTACAATGTTTGTATATAATACGTATCTGTGTATATATATATGTATATGCGCGTATCTGTGTGTGCGTACCGGGACATGGAGGTTGGCAAACCCGTCCTTGTTAGCAGCTGCGTAGCATCCCCCGCCTGTTACACAATGCCCTCGCGATCCCTTGAAAAACGATGGGTGGATTAATGACGTCACGGACAGCAAGGAACGCACCTGGCTACTGTCCAGGATCTCTACCAATCTGTAGCGTCCTACGACCCCCATGCGCCATCCCATATAGCGAATAGATAAACCGTCACGTTATGTTCCTGAAAGAAAGGATTAAGACATCTAAACTCTTGTTGTCTAAAATAATTCCGATCGAAAAATTAATAGATGGATTGATATAATATATTTATCGAAATAATATTATATTTAAAATTGTCAGAGAACAAGGCAAAACAAATCAGACGTGAAAATAAATTATTGATAATTCAGAAGTTTTTTAGAGTGTAAAAATAAATTTCGAAATCGGGTACGTGTTGTTATTTTAATGAAGCGCGATGTAAGAGAGCTCGAATCTATCGAATTATTGTCACAATTCGCAAAGTCCTCGAAATAAAATCCGTAAGAGTTTCATGACACGTTTATGAATTTATATAGCTCGCTTTGTGCCTGTGGCCCGATAATCCGACCGGACCTACCATTTATTGGGCTCTTTGTTATCATACAACGTAAAGAAAAGCGGCGGGGGCGTAAAGGGAAGTTTTCCGCGTTGAAAAGGCGGCACGCGGAACCCCTTTTTCCTCGCAATTAAGACGCGAGCCACATCGCCGAGGGAAAGAGTAGAGATAGGATGAAAGAGGAAGAAAGAGAGAAAAGCAGGAGACGGGCAGAGAGAAGCAAAATCTTTAGAAACTTTTCAGTCGAAAAGATGGATGCAGGAAGGGGAAAGGGTTGCGCTGATGATGCATAAATTAGGTGGGCTAATGGGCCGAGGTCGTCTGAGAAAAGACCGGGGAAAATATTAATGCCCCGGGCTCTGACTAGCTGGTTGGCTGGCTGGTCTATGGACGTACGCGTATTTTCGGAGCGGGCGCTCGTAATTACACTCCTTCGTGCTCTCTTTTTCACAATCGACCACTGCCATCAGCCGAATCGTCGTCGGGAGACTCTCGCAGATAGCTGCGCCAATAATCTCTTTAGAAGACTCATGATTCTTTTGTTCCGGCTAAATCGCGAAATTTCTGAAACTTTTCGCGAAAGAGTATCTTGAAAAAAAATATTTAAATGACGTGAGACAAAATATCATTGACATCTCTCTTGTTTATCGCGTATCATATTTAAAGTTTTCAATTTTGTTATAATCATAATTTTCTATGTTATGAATTTTTAAATTCCCGACTGCAGCATAAAACAACTTATCTATTTATGAAGTGCATTAATCTCAGCTTTAGTCAGTCATGAATTTTAGATACTACAGTCTTTTTTCTCATATCATGTATAGATAATATATAGATAATATTAATAAATATCATCTCTACGTCATCCAATTACGCTGCCAAAATGAGACTGGATCTAACTCGATTCCGGTCGCTCCGCTTCCTCGTCTACGTAATAGTTCCGTTTCCATTAATAACTGATGATCCTCCTGACCCTTCATTAACCCCGATGCATTAATTTCAATCTTTTTTTCAGGACCTCTCTTTCACATATCTTACGTTCATATTTACATCCGTCCGATATAGAAATAAAACATCGAACGCGCGAACCCCGCAGCGCGGCGGTGATATATCCAGCGTAATCACGAACGTACCGGGATTCAAGTCTGGTAGCCATCGTCCTACGAGATCACGTACACGCTCGAGTACGAGATAGTTGATCTCCCGCCAAACATCACCCCCGCCTTTATAGCCGCCTGGAAGTGCCATCACTCATGGCGCTATTCTTCATTCTTTTACAGCGATTTACGAGCGAGTACCGGTCATCGGTGCCGAGCAAATACTAGATGTCAAGGACATGTCGCGGCTGTCTTATCGGACTGCACCGATAAGATGATAATTGAATATAATTAACTCTGGGAGCAATGGCATCGATGTATATGTATAAGATAAATTAGAATTCGATATATAATATCGTATCGACTGCCGCTTTTCAAGAGAGAAAAATCTGCAGATATATATTTCTGATTGATTATATTGTTAATTCTATTTATTAGATTTTATTAATTCTTATATTTGATTTTATAACGATAAGTATTCGGGCACATCTTTGTTTTTTTACCGTCTCTCGCTATGATAAATTGTTACGCTCTCGCGCTTCTTTTGTATGAAAAAAAAAGATGACATCTGAAAGTGAAAGCGGCATTAATTAACGCCTTTGCTCCGACGTAATGTCGCTCGCAAAATAAATACGGAGTATTACGCCGTCGGCGAGGAGAGACCGAACGAACTGTGATGCGTCGTGAAAGGCGAAAAATCTTTCCCAATAATGGCATCACGGATCTGCCAATCAGAGCACCGATCGCGAACAGAAAAACGAGCAGCGCGCACGTATATGTATAGTATGGCACACACACACACACACACACACACACACACACACACGTGTGTACGTCGGTCCTTATATCTGCGTCTCTCTGCGCCCCGTAATTACCAGGGTCGGCCTTCACCGCGGCAATTTGTCAAGGCTGTAATAATCCCAGCGGACCTATGGCATTGTATACATATCGGCAGATGCCTCCCACCGAACCAGATAACATCGCCGGCCGGCCCCGTTCTCTTCTGCGGTACCACATCGCCGGGCCCCGTGAAAACCATCCATTTCGAGTCCGCGCGGTACTATCATCGGCTCGGTTTTTGACGCCCGTTTCAAATTAAAGTCAATCAGCACACGCGGATGTATCCGTAGCCTGCGATACACCACGAGGCGTATATATACAAATACTGTCTTTCCTTCGCTCCCACTCGACTCTCTAGAGAAGTGCTATGTGCACGTGGGGGACGGTACGGTTCCCACCTGTGTGTGACCGTACTACGTAACACACACGCGAGAGAGAGAGAGAGAGAGAGACTGTAATTTATACGACTGACCCTCGTTACATCGCGATCCGTCATTCGCGATTATGAGGAAACGATGCTCGCTAACTTTTAGCGACTCTCGGAGGTGAGCAGGAAAGAAAGAAGGGAACAGGGTATTTATTATGTACCGCGATGAGAGAGAGAAGCTGGATTCTGGAATACGGAAATATTTCTGCGGAGATAACAAACTATGAGCTTGAGACCGTATGCTATGATACAATTATTGCGTAATGTTAATTTTGAGGGAAGAAAGTTGAAATTAGTTTTCAAACTATCCCTGAAAGATGCAAATAATTAATAATTACGTTTAAATTATTTTCCCACTTTAGAGAAATCAATCGCAAACTTTTAACGATTATATGTGACAAAGGTTTATATACGTCTGTGAAAAAATATATCATTTATCAAACCAAGATGCCAAATGCATCTGGCAGATATCGTGGCCTGCTTATAAATGTCGAAAAAATTGGAGCAAGTGCACAACATTAAGTGATCTCGCAATGAGTTCGCGCGTGCATTTCTCTCGAAGAGACCTAAACGATTTCCCATTTCAACGATCGTCGGCCTTTGCCGGAGCAAGAGATCGAAGCGAAAGGAAAGAACAGAGAGAGAGAGAGATAGAGAAACGGGAGAGCTCAACCACGAAAATGATGCGTAGAACAGAAAGAGAAAGAGGCAGGGAAGATTGCTCGACGTGGTACAACGTGACTTAGCCGTTGCATCTCATCTCTTTTCATCCCTCGTTCTTGTCCTTTCTCTCTTTCTCTTTTCGTATACACGAGGTGTCTCTAGCTCGGATCTCGGTTAATGGTGCATGGCAGTTGCAGGGGCCAGTACGTCAGGTCGGTGCAACAGAGTGCGAGCATCCAGCTATCTTGATGAGATCTTGTTTTCCGTGGGATCTCCCGCGGTGAGACGCGATTCGTTCTTCGTGTTGCGCGTTCTCGTTCCATCGCCGGAAAATCACCGATGACTGCTTATATAGCACGACGTATATACAACGACAGGAAACGATCGCCGCGCATGCGAATGCGATCAACAACAGCAGAGAGAGAGAGAGAGAGAGCGAACGCGACGGCAAAATGCGCTTTTAATTATGCGCGCATCGGTCGCTCGCGGCTCTCTTACGGTAATTAATAATACAATTAACACACGCGCGGCCACGATCGCCATCGGGCCATATACCGTCTGAAAGTGAAAGTCCCCATCGCGTGTCTACCTTAAATTGTCGAAGAATCGAAGCGAGATTCGATCTCTGAATCTAACGCGCACACGTGCGCAATTAAATTCTATGCGATGTTTTGAAACGCGATTGTGCGATTTTTGTTGCTACACTACGATTTTCTTCGCGTGAGAAACGCGTTTCTCGGAAATCGCTCGTAAGTGCATCGCTAAAATGCTAATCTGCGCTCTTTATGCTGTCTTTCAGATGCGGAAACGAATTTCATTTCCATAATTAAAAATGAATTATATACTAATTTTCCCGGATCTCTCTCATATCCATTTTACGCAGAACAGTTAAGATTGTCGTGACTTTATGATTTGATTTTTTTTTTTATTTTTTTATTAAGAGAAACTCACTGTCATCCGTTTTGAAAAAACGCTTTTCAGGAATGCACCTAAGAGTGCTATATAATCGATGTCTCGACGGAGACACGATTACGTCGGATGGTTCGTTTGATTACATCCATATTGTCCTCTTCTCGAAGAAACACAACCGGTTTCTCTTTTTTTCCTTCTATAGCGTAGATTCGTGCCATGTCCCTTTGCGGAAGATATTATCGACGAAAACCTCCCGTCGCATTCAACCCTAAAACGACGCCCGACAAAAAGGGGGAGACTTTACTACGTCCTAATTGGGATGACAGAGACGTCAATGGCGGCCACGATCAAAGAGACCGTAAATGTTGGTTACGGGTGTAAACTACGGATTTTAGTGTCACCGAGGGTTTTTTAGGCTCCATAAGATACGCTATTTATGGGGTTGTGTAACCCGCCCTCGTAAAGTAAAGGCGTGCATTAATAAATAAAGCGATTATGCGCTGCGCGATCAACGCTACCTGTCCGCTTTGCGAAATCAATTCCGCGTTTTTCCTTCTGTGCCACTCAATATGTGTGCCGTCACTATATGTATATATATATATACGATAATAAAGCAAAAACGCGCAACGTTATTTATGTTAATGCACTTCGACGCAGGAATTAATACTTGAGTTGCCAACTCAAGTTATATAGACATTTATGTTAAT